GTGACCTCCTTTCCACTGTCCTTTGTTGATTTGAGCACTCTATGTGTTGTATCTTGTACTCAGTTACTTTTTTACATTAAGTTTCTGGAACGTGCTTGAAATGTTTTTATTACCTTGACTTTCTATGGAGGACAGCGATATTTCTTTCTTTCTTTTTTTTGAGATGGCGTCTCACTCTGTTGCCCAGGCTAGAGTGCAGTGGCACAATCTCAGCTCACTGCAACCTTCGCTTCCTGGGTTCAAGAGATCCGCCAGCGTCCCAGGTAGCTGGGATTACAGGCTCCCATCCCCATCCCCAGCTAATTTTTGTATTTTTAGTAGAGACGGGGTTTCACCATGTTGGCCAGGCTGGTCTCGAACTCCTGAACTTGGGTGATCCACCCGCCTTGGCCTCCCAATGTGCCGGGATTACAGGCGTGAGCCACCATGCCTGGCTGAGGACAGCTGTGATTTATATTTTCTGGAAACCTTGCTGGACTTTAGGATTACTGCTTGATGACACTGAAAAGCGTAAAAAGCCCTAGGAGAGGAAAGATGAAATAACAGTGTATGGGAAAGAGCTTTGGCCAGGGAATCCAGTCATCCGCCAAAACATGGTGCTGTCCTTCCACAGAGCCCCAACTCTAAAGCTGTCCACATTTGAGGAAGTTGCCCAAAGTAGAGGTGTTCAAATGATGAATCAGGTAAAGTGTTTCATATTAAGGGAGAAGCAGCAAGAACATATTGCAAGATGCCCAAAGACTGGTCTGCAGCTCATGCTCAGAAGCAAGAGTTCAGAGCATTCATTTCGGAGCCTGAGCATCTTAGGTGAACACGAAGGTTCATACTGTCTCAATGAAGTATCCTGTGGGTGGTGAGTATTAAAGGCGAGAATCTGGTCATTCTTGGGGCAGAGGGTGCTAAGTATTAATGAGCCATGCATGGGGACGACCAGGCCCTTGATTGAATTTGGTTGGATCAATTCTATTACAAATCCCAGGGCAATGAAATCAAAGTCAAAGAGGAGACACCTGAGGCTGGAGCTCAGCAAGAGAGAATGCTGATTGCTGATGAAGAGAGAAATGTGCCTCTAGAGGTCTCAGCCTCCCAAGAAGGTAGAAGGAAAACCCAAAACCTAGGGACAGGAGATCCCGGTGCACACTGCAGGTGGAAGAGGGCCTTCCTGACCCCAAACCCCACGGAGCCCCCTGCCCTGAGTGAAGGGCATACAGGGTGAGGTGCTCAGTGGGGATGGAAGCAGTGGGTGCTACTCAGAGGCCCCAAATCTGACGTGCAATTGCAGCTGGGGTCCCTCCCACCCCATCCACTGAATCAGAATTCCTTGGGTAGGTGTGGGGAATCTAGAATCCGTATTCTTAGCAAGCTTCCCAGGACTCCAGAGCCACCTGGCCCTGGCTGAGCAGACCTGCATTTGGGAATCGGAGCCTTGAGACCCAACACTGTGTCCAAGCCAAACCCGTTAGGCTCAAAGGTCCCTTGAAACCTGGGGGATGGAGGGTTTTTTGAGGACTCAATGTAGAAAAAAAGAAAGCTGCAAACGTGTAGAATGCTTAGTATGTGGCATCTAAGGGCTCAAGTATTGAGCATCTGGCATTTAAGTACTTAAGAAGTGTTAGCCCTTGTTGGCATTATTATTAAACTCTGTCTCCTGGTTAAAGCTGAGGCTCAAAAAATAGGTGTCTTGGCCAGGCATAGTGGCTCATGCCTATAATCCTAGCACTTTGGGAGGCCGAGGCGGGTGGATTGCCTGAGCTTAGGAGTTCATGACCAGCTTGGCCAACCAACATGGTGAAACCCTATCTCTACTAAAACACAAAAAGTTAGCTGGGTTTGGTGGTGCATGCCTGTAATTCCAGCTACTTGGGAGGCTGAGGCAGGAGAATTGCTTGAACCCGAGGCGGAGGTTGCAGTGAGCCGAGATCATGACACTGCACTCCAGCCTGGGCAAGACAGTGAGACTCTGTGTCCAAAACCAAACCAAACCAAACCAAACCAAACCAAACCAAACCCAAAACCAAACCAAACCCAAAACCAAACCAAACCAACTAAACCAAACCAAACCAGGTGTCTCTCCAAGCTGGGACAATTAATTCTAGTCTCCTGGAAACGGGAACTGAAGCATGGGAGTTACTGGCTGAGTGGAGTGAAGGCAGCATCAGAGAGCAGGTCTCTGGCCCCCAGCGCTCAGGTCCAGGGGTTCTGGCTCCTGCCCTGCCTGGGACTTAGTTGCTGAACTTTCCCTCAGCCCTGCATCCTTCCAATAAGTTGTCTTAAGCCAGTGCAGAGTTCATTCTGTTGCTTCCAAAAGAACCTTCACTAACCCCAACCTGAGAAGGACTGGAAGGCTGAGAGCCGCAGGCGGGGGTGGGCATGGTAGGGGGAGGCAGCACGCATCCTGGCCTAGGTGGGCTGGGGAACGCTGAACTCTCCCGTGCTCTGGGAGCTCCAGCTGGGGGGCTGCCACCAGTTCTACCTCGGCCTGTACACACCACCGGGCACTAGGGAGCCAAGCAAGGCTGCTTTCCTGACTTTTCTGAGCCTAGGAGGGTTCTGCAGCTAACGGTGTGTATCAGAATTGAACACCACCGACTGGGAAAGGGCAGGCACCCGATGAGGAATGCCCCTGCTCGCGAAGGCACAGGCTGCATTTCCCGTGTGTGGAATGAGTTCAGTCTGCAGCTTCGAGGTTTGCACACATATATGTTTAAATAACTTAAATAATGTTACAATATACAGCAAGACAAATTCTATCCTTTTCAAATACTTAAAACTTAAAAACTGTGTGCTGCATATAGCTTTAAATAGTATTTAAAGGCCAGCTGAGCTGGAAAGTATGCCCCTTTCTCTTTGTAAGGAATCCTGGCTCCTGGCGCAAATGACTTCGGGTGCCTTCCACGGCCCCTTGGTTACTGCTAGAGAATGTTGCTTCCTGGCAGGGGTTCCAGCAAAATATTTGCCAGGGTAGAAAAAAGATGGTTTTTGGAGAGGGATGTCTTTGTGGCCTTGTGGAAAGGCCAGCTTCATTTTCTTTTCTTCACAGAGGTGCTTAATTCTGGGGGGGGGCTCCAGCCTGGCTCTTGGGCTTCAGGTCACCAGACCCTAGCAGTAAGTACAGTCCAAGAAAGTCAACCAGAAGGCTCGCCCTGGCATCTGGCACTGCTATGGCTCCATTTTCCAGAAGGGAAGGCCTCCTTCCAAGAGAGTGCAGTGTCAGCTGCATGCTGCTCACGTGTCTTTCTTGTGGAGCAGCCAGGATACTGCGGCACCACGACCCCCTGCCACTGGGCCCACAGGAGCGCTGGCTCTGATGTCAAAGCCGCTTGGAGGCTGCATCGTCTTGATGGTACTATTGGGGACGGACCAGGACTTGAAAATGGAGAAGCTTTAGCAGGGTGCTGAGCAGCTGCATTTCACAAGCATTTCTTCAGAGGAAAGGTAGCTGGGGTAAGTAACCCCAAAGTCAGGGAAAAAGAGCTTCTGACACAAATGTTGGAAGGGGTGATGCTGCCTTTGGTTGGGAAGTGAGTAATGGGGAGCACGGGCCTGTGGCTGTCACCATCTCCCCTTCAGGCAGAGCCTCTCAGCAAAAGGGGCCCCATCCTAGGTAATGCCAGGAGCTTTTGGGAGAGTGTCCCAGGGCACTGACCCTCACCGTGCGGGCTGGCCTGAGGTGCTGCGCTGGAGAGCCCTAATGACCCCACCCTGCCTCCACTTTTCAGCCTCAGCGGCAGCTCCTGAATAGGGCCTGCGCCCACTGGGCCTTGCATGTGGCCACCACCGAGGAAGAGTCCCCAGTTTCCTGTAGCGACCTCAGGTGACACAGACAGGAGGTCCTCCTGAGAAGTAACAGGTCCTCACACCTAGACAAAGCTTCTTGGCGTTCCCTTTCCCTCCCTTTTCAGCTGCGCCATCATGAAGGTGCAGATTGGCTTGGGTGCAGCTTGGGGCAGAACAGCGGGACGTGCAGATTTCTCCTGGTTCAGCCTCTACATTCTTCCACTGTGAGCATGAGCAAGGGAAACGCTAAACCGATGCTCCAAAATCTATGGTGAGCCGCTGAGTTTATTCTTAAGGTTACATTCTCAGCCTTTACTCCAGGGCCCAATTTTTAGGACAAGCCTTCGCAGGACAGGAGTCCTTTGAAGAGAGCAGCACGTGAGCAGAGAAACACGCACGGCTTGATCTCGCCTCCCTGCAGCCGATTCCGAGGGGGCGCTGAGAGGGGCTGATTTCAGCCTCCCCTAGCAAGATTGGGAGGAGGTTCCTCCTACACAAGAAGCCCACCCAACCACCAGGGCTTCTTGGAAAGGAGTGGTGCTAGATGTCAGCCAGGAACTCCCCAGACCAGGTATCTTTCCAGGCTGGGGGATAAAGAACCAGGCAGCTTTTATTTCCTATTAATCAACCTAGTTGGAAGCAGAGCCATTGTAAAGGCAGCGAGGTATTGATTACGGAATTAAAGAAGGAAAACGCTGCTTATACAATGTGCTGGTAAGCAGAAGCCTCCGTTGGCTAGCTGAATGGAGTCCTGGGTAAGGATCGCCTGTAGCCACTGGGCACTTTCCATTGTACTAGCTCCCATACAGCAGCATTTCTAGCAGCAGAAACACAGGAAAACTGCTCTCCAGGGAGACGTTCCTGTCCTGTCCTGGCCCCAAATTACCTGGCACCAGGCTATCACATTCCACCAATACTTCGCTGGCCTGGGTTTTCAGGGGTGGCACGATGATGGTTCGGGGGTTCCCCGTGCAGTGATTCTCCAGGCTCCCCTTGGTGTCAAAGGCGTTGGCATTGTTGTGCCCGGCACGCTGCTGCACGGAGTAGGGGCTGGTGTTGCTGGAGGAGTCGGAGTAGGGGGAGTCATGGACCGTGACGCAGCTGATGACGTTTTTCCTTTGCTTGGAGACAGTGCTGAAAATACAAAGGGAGAAGTCAGAGGTGGGAGAAGGTCGTGAGTGAGACACCCAACTAGACTTTCATGCCCTGGAGCAGGGGAGGAAGGGAGAAGGGAGAGGGGACAAACAGGGCTTCTGCCCTCCCTAACCCCCATGGGGAGGCTGGACATGCAACCATCCCCTGTGTAGCCCGCAGCAGGGGGAGATGTGAAGACATGAGGAAGAAGGGGCTGGTGCTGGACCCACAGCTGCTTCCGGGAACTAGGAGTGAGACGCTTCCAGGCTAGCCTGGGCTCTTTCTGTGCAGCAGAGCTCAGCACAGCTGCAGGGGAGGCACCTGCAGCCCAGAGCTGTTTGCAACCTCCATGGACCAACTGAACAAGGAGAGAGAACTAGCAAGAACCCAGCAACGTGGGGACCTGGGTTAGGAGTAAACGTTGCTGGGAGAAGAATGTCATGAGTTTAGGTTTGGTGCCTGTGGCCTGGCAAAGCTTATTCAGGAGAGAACGGAATGTCCATGAAATGGGATACGGCGCGAGGCTCTGAGGGGCAGTGCAGACGTGCTGCAGAGAAGAACGCAGAGCTGAACTGGACACCCTCTGCGTCTCCTTGCTTTGAGGGTGCTCTGTGGGCTGACTGTGCGCAGGCCACCGGGACCTCTGCACTCCCCTTCTCAGGAGCCTGGATCACCTGCAGCTTTTCCACTGCCTGGGCCAAGGATGGGGGTCAGCATGGCACTGGCACCTGGTGGGAAGTCCCCTGCCATGCCGATGCCATGTGAAAGCCACTCTGATACCCTGGCCTTCATCTTACATGTGAAACTTCAGACAATAGGGAGGCACTGGCTTTGGATGGCTCTTGGCTGGCCTATTTGTTCAGAGATTTTTAAGTTAGTGTGGCTACTTTGGGAACCACTTTTGTCTTCAAGCTCAGCGAGAGGCTTGTTGGCATGATGGATGTGAAATGTATTGCTTACTGTGTGCTTATTTAAGGCTTTAAAACTGAACGTGCATCTAATTTTGTATATTGATCATTTATTTTTAAGAAATAGCAATTGCCTAGGCAAGCAGGTCAGTTTCCAGCTAATTGGATGAGAGAAGCAGCTGGTATTTATAAAGCCTGATGGAGTCACAGCCACCTGCCGAGTATCTTGTTTAAGGCCACACAGCCAGGCCAGGCTCTTCCCATGATGGATCTCTACCACCCTAGGGGCAGCAGGGAAGTGGGCAAATTCCAGAGCCCACAGCAGCCAGGAAGGAGGGATGGAAGAACCGAGCATAGCTGCGGAGCTACAGAAGGCTAGGGGAGCCAGGAGGTGCAGTCTGCAGGAGGCGTTGGCCCTGCTCCCCAATGCCCAGTGCTCCCGACACTAGGCTGGATAGCTCTTCCAGTGGCTGGACACTGTCCTCTCTGGGTCAGGGTACCCAACTGTGTTTGTGGGTGAGAACATGAACCTTGCAGTCAGATGTCTAACTTCAGCATGTGCTGGTGATAGGGCAGTGATTTCGTGGCCTCATCAGTAAAAGGTAGGTAATAATTGTACCTAAGTCATAGGCTTGTTTTGAGAACTAAGTGAGAAAATACAAGTAAAGTGCTTTAAATGGTACACAACACATAGTAAGTATTCCATAACAGCTGTTATCATTATTCTTCTTATAAGTTGTGTTAACTTATTTAGCATGTGAAAACAGGTTTGCAAAAAACTTATATAGGCAAAGAGAATTCTAGCAGGGTAAGGACTTGCTGGAAAAGTTTCTTTCTTTCAAGTCTATGAATAAACCAGAAGATTGAAATGAAAGAAAATTAAAACTCATCATATCTTGGAGATCTATCTATGATAGGTACTATAGGGAATACCTATACAAAGAAATATGTGTCTCTATCCTTGAGCAGATTAAAATCTCAGTGGAGAACTGTATAAAAACATGACAAGTTAAACAGTAAAAGCTTTAAAATAACCAGTTAGAGAGAATAATGTATGTCACAAAGGCTCCGTGATTAACTGTCAGATGACTCGTACAGATGATAATTGTTAAGAACTCAAAAGAAGATGAGGAATTAATTGGCTGCATATATTTACGGCTCTTCATGTTAACTTAAAATAGATAAATTTTAATTAATAAAGACCCAAACCTCCCAGTTATGACAGTTTAAATATGAAATGTCCATAGGATTCTTCCTCAAAAAGGTAAACAGAGTTACCGTATAGCAATTCCATTCCTGAGTACGTATTCAAAGGAATTGGAAACAGGTACTCAGATACATGTAAACCAATGTTCACTGCAGCACTGTTCATAACACCAAGAGCTGGAAACAACACAAGTGTCCATCAACTGATGGATGGACAGAAAATGTGGAATACTATTCAGTCATAAAAATGAATGAACACTGGGAGGTGTGGCTGATGCCTGTAATCCCAGCACTTTGGGAGGCTGAGGCGGGAGGACTGCTTGAAGCCAGGAGTTCAAGACCAGCCCTGGCAACACAGTAAGAGCCCATCTCTATAAAAAATTTAAAAAATAAGCCAGGTCTGGTGGTATGTGTCTGCAGTCCCAGCTGTTTAGGAGACTGAGGTGGGAGGATCATTCCTCGAGCCCAGGAGTTTGAGGCTGCAGTGAGCTATGATCACACCACTGCACTCCAGCCTGGGTGACAGAGAGACCCTGTCCCCCCACCGCAAAAAAAAAGTTCTGATACATGCTACAATATGGATGGACCTTGAAAACATTAAATGCAATAAACCAGACACAAAAGGACAAATAGTTTTGAGCCTACATATACGAAATATCTAAACAGGCAAATTCATACAGGCAGAAAATACGTCAGAGGTTACCAGAGGTTGGGAGCTAGGGGAGAAGAAAGTGGGAAGTTACTGATTAATAGTATAGTTTTTGGTTGGGGCGATGGAAGAGTTCTGAAAATAGATAATGGTGATGGCTGCATAGCATGATGAGTATAATTAATGTCACTGAATTTACACTTAAAATGGTTGAAATGGCAAATTTTATGTTATATATATTTTACCACAATTAAAAATTAATAGATTAAAACCACTGAACTATACACATTCAATAGGTGAACTGTACAGTACCTGAATTATATCTCCATCAAAAACAAAGTCCACAGGCGCACTCAGAAACAAAAAAGCAAAAGAGATTCAGTGTCTTGGGCACTTTGCAGCTGTACAGAAGGGCTCAGTAGAGACACCTGGAGGGTTGGGAGGGCACCGCCGCCCAGTACAAGAATTATAAAGTGGGAGCTGGGTGTGGTGGCTCACCCCTGTAATCCCAGCACTTTGGGAGGCCAAGGTGGGAGGACTGCTTGAGGCCAGGAGTTTGAGACCAGTCTGGGCGACAGAGTGAGACCCCACCTCCACAAAAGTAAAAACATTAGCTAGGCATGGTGGTGCATGCCTATAGTCCTAGCTGCTAGGGAGGCTGAGGCAGTAAAATGGCTTGAGGCCAGGAGTTTGAGGCTACAGTGAGCTGTGATCATGTCACTGCACTCCAGTGTGGGTGACAGAGAGGGACCTACACTCTAAAGAGAAAACAGTAAAAATAAATAAAAAGAATTAGGTACAGTGGCTCACACCTGTAATCAGCACTTTGGGAGGCCAAGGCAGGCAGATTGCTTGAGGTCAGGAGTTCGAGACCAGCCTGGCCAACATGGCAAAACCCCGTCTCTACTAAAAATACAAATATTAGCCAGGTGTAGTGGTGCATACCTGTAATCCCAACTACTCGGGAGGCTGAGGCAGGAGAATCTCTTGAACCTGGGAGGCAGAGGTTGCAGTGAGCTGAGGTCACACCACTGCACTCCAGCCTGAGTGAGAGTGAGACTGTCTCAAAAAAGAAAAAATTTAAAAATCCTGGGTGTGCTGGCACATACCTATAATCCTAGCTTCCTGGGAGGCTGAAGTAGAACTGTTTGAACCTGGGAAGTACGGTTGTAGTGAGCTAGATCGCACCACAGTACTCTAGCCTGGGGGACGGAGCGAGACTCTGTCTCAAAAAAAAAAAAAAAAAAAGATTGCTGTCCACCAATAACAAAAAAGAATATCTAGAAATATTTTATAAACATAAATTAAACAAAAAAAGAATTAGGAAGTGGGATTCCAGGAGAAGGTCTCTGAGCTAGGAGGGAACAAGGAGGGATCTGAGATCAGGGAGACACAGGAGGCTGAGGACGAGGAGGGAGCACAGGAGGGAAGGAGAGCCGCCTTAAGACGACAGGGGCAGTAAAACCCGCAGCTGTCTTCTGGGATGAGTGGGGAGAGTAAAGGGAAACAACCCGCCTGCTGCAGTCTCTTGTGTAGTAAGGGAACTCCTTGCACCCTGCACTATTTCGAAGTGCTCCGAGGGCCAGGGGAACAGCTGGGAACCAAGACTGTGTGCAGCTGCTGCTTCCCACGGGGAGGTGAGATGGCGCTGTCCTGCCCTTCCCTCTTAGCCTCGGGCATGGCTACTCCTGGTCATCCAGCGAAACACAGACATGTGCTGTGGCAGGTGCACATTCTGTGGATGGAAGACCCCACGTGAGGATGGAGGCTGACTCCCAAATGTGTCCTGGGAGCTGCCACTGCAGTCCTAGCTCTGCTGTCCCTTTGCTGCTGTGGCTCCGGACAGGGGCCTGGATAACCTGTAATATCCATTCAGCTCCAAACTGCTCTGAAATTCATTGCGAGAGATTACTCATGGTATTAAAGGAGCCATGGTGAGGATCTCTGAAAGATTCCTAGAGACATTTTGAAATAGGAATGGTGTAGCCTTAATCTGGAGAGGGAAGTGATCCGTTTAGTAGATGTACGTTACCTATAGACCCAGATCTGGCCAGTTCTTGCTGATTGTATCTTCCTTAGGATCTGAGTAGTTTAGAAAATGAGCAGTTTTTTTTTTTTTTTTAAAACAAAGACAAAGACATACACACTAATTTTGGCAAAACTGTACTCTGTCCGTGAGTAAAATTCAAATCGGGCATATTTGGAGCTCTTTACTCCAATTTGGAAATTGTGGAGAA